TTCTAGGGGGAGAAGCAGAAAATAAGCAAGGAAAATCCTTTTGGATGGCGATACGCCCTTTACATGGTCAGAGCAGGCCTCACTGAAGAGCTGAGCCCCGTACTGCAGCCATGCAGAGGCCGTGGGGTGGGTGCCTGAGGCAGGTGCTATTTCGGGCAGAAGCAGCAATGATTGCAAAGACTTTGTGGCTGGAATGAATTTAGGATGTTTGAGGAGACTGCTCCTGGAATTTGCTGAGGGAAGCAGGAGAGAAGAGGGAGGGGAGGCTATAGAGGATCCTATAAGGAGTGAAGAGTTGGGGTAAGGAGTCTGCTAAGGAGTTTGGGTCTTACCCTAAACCCAATGCAAGCCATAGGCAGTTTCAGGTTGTGGAATAATTTTTCAGGCTTTGTTTTCAAAAGGTCATATTGGCTGCTGTGTGGAGAATGGAATACAAGGTTTTAAGGTCAGACACGGGGAGGCCAGTTAGGAAGTAGCTGAGATTGTCCAGGAAAGAGGTGATGAGGCTCAGACTAGAAGCAGTGGATTCAAGCCATGTTTGAATGTAGCTTCAGCAGAGCACGCTGATGGATTGGACATGACGAGTGAAGGAGAAACAGTCATCAAGGATGTTCCCTGGACCAGGGCCCTAGCCGCTAGGGCCTAGAGAGCAGTTGGGCTGGTAGCAGGAGATCCTAGATCCAATCCTCAATCTCTGGATCACCTCTCTGGATAGGGCCGAGTACCTCACCCCCTGATAGACTCTAGGGGTAAAAAAAATAAGATTAAAAAATGCATGGCCCAGCTCCCCAAGAGCTTACCTTTTCACCAAGACCTCCCCAAGGACAAGGGGGAAAGGCCCCATTTTTTGAAGAACTTCAAAAACCGTCTTATGAACCTTGTGGTATATTTTTTGATCATGTTTAATGCTTTTAACATACACTCTCCCCAACAACAACAAGCAATATGAGTGTCTAGTCACATAATAATAGCTGGATTTATTTTTAAATACAAATTCCTTCTGCACCGTAGAAGGTGTGGTATGGGACTGGGTCCACGTTTAAGTTGCTTGCTTTATGAACACCTTCTTTCTATCCCGTCAGTCTATCTCTGTGATGGGGTGCCAGCCCACTTGGGAAAGCATGAAGAATCTAAGTGTGAGTTCTTAAGCAACCGTGTGGTTCTCCTGGTTCCTGCTTTAACCAGCTCTACATCTACTTCCTTCATTGATCCACCAAATACTTATTGTGCATCTGCTATGTGCTAGGCAGTAATCTAGATTCACGGATGCATCAGCCAAAAAGACAGACAAGGCCCCTGGTGTCAAAGGGCTTACATTCTAGTGAGGTAGGCAGAAAATAAGTAAGCCCCCAAAGAAATGACAATTTCAGAAAGTGATAAGTAAAGGAAATCTAATAGGAAAATCTGTAGAAGGTGCTAGAGACAGGAGGACAAGATGAGGGAGGGAGGTCTGGGAAGGTGACCCTGCAGAAGTGGTGTTTGAGCTGAAACCTACATGACGAGAAAGGCCAGGCTCTGCAGGGAGCTCAGAGGAGAGTGTTCTCCGCAGAGGTTACGCGACTCAGACAAAGACCGAGATGGGAAGGAGCTTCCCAGTTTCTGGAACAGAGAAGACCAGGCTCTGGGCTGTAGGGATTCAGCAGGCAACAAGACGGCCACGGCCAGCAAGGGGCTCCAGGAGCTCTGAGAACCAGCCCCTGGAAAGCTACCCAGCTACCCAGGGAAGGCAAGGCATCGGTCTAATCATCTCTTCAGGCCTGGCTCTCTGGCCCTCTGCCCCTCGCCATGGGCACCTCCCCTACCCTCTGGTGCCCCTTCTGGCCTTGGACACTAGACCCTGCTGGGAAAGTGGTAAGAACAATGAGGAAATAAATCAGCTCCTCCAAAAAAGTTACCTCTCTCCAAGGGCCCCCCTCCGGTACACAGGCTGTTTCCCCATATGCCAATGGCCTGTGTCTAAACTAATCATGACTTTGGCCCCCTGGGGATCAGGGAGCACAGGGCTGGAAGCATCTGTTTCCTCTCTGGTTTACTCCCAGTCCTGTCCTGGCCCCCTGCCTGACCACAGTGATGAGCTTGCCCCTAATTAGAATGAAGAAACATCAGCTCTATCTTCTTGAGAGGAAGGTGGGAGGCCAGGAAACTTTATTAGGATGCCAAAGAAAACTCTGGAGGGAATTCCCCCGGCCATTCAAGGAAGCGGAAGTGGGCCTCATAGACATGGAAGGCAGCTCAAGCCAATATGTGGCTGAGTTCCAGTTATGTTGAGATGAGCAATTTGTGTTCTGCAAGCATATCCATTACACACATTTGCATTCCCTTCATTTTCATTTGCTTTACTTTTCCCTGTTGCTAGTTTCCTGGATGACTTCTGTATTTCTATAAGGACTCACGTCTTTAAAATTCTCATTGTATCTCTTTGCAAGTGTGTATAAATAAACCAGTTGGCAAATCATACTATAACTGAAAGGTGAGAAAAAATCTAATTTCTGTATTTGTTCTCTAAGAATCTGGTCTTCCTCATGAGCCCCTACTTGCTGGTTAGTTAGCAGAACATAAATGTTTAGGCTTACCATTTTAAGATGCTAGTTCATAAGAACAAACTGTCAAATATTCAGGAATTTTGAGAACCCAGTTGTTAAACACAAACACTAAAATTAAATTATATAGACTTACAATTAATAATATCAAAGACAAAGGTAATACTCAAAAATCTATCATTTCCTAATTATTTCACTACATTTTACTATTTATACTTTTGAGGTTATTTACATCTACTGTACTTGTATCCTGGAGATAACCGTACAGTGATTTCTTGATGCGCCTCTCTTCCCAACATGTTGGTAGCTTGAAATCATCCAGGATGGGAATATTTACACCACAAAAACCAGCAAAGGCTACAAATCTGGGCTTGTTTTATTATTTTATTGATTGTCTAGACTTAAGAAATAAATTCAGGAAGTGTTAATAGTGCAGATTAACAAGTGTGTGGTGCTTGTAGCCATTACATTGTGAAGAGCACAAAAAATGAGAAAATATTCTTTCAGTATTTGAAAACTCTTCAGCAAAGAGACTCATTAACGTAAACCAAAATGTCAAGTAACACTTATGTTGGAACTACACCAATTGGAACCACAGGTTAGTTACAGATACACACGTTTACCAGCACACTACTGAGACCGAGGACACGGCCTCTTGCCAGGGTGCATGACTAGCAATCTAGAATTTGCTGCCTCCCCTCCCCCTCCCCATTCCCTCCACTGAGAACTTTTGTGTAGTGAATAAACTGCACACCAGTACACCATGGTCCTACCCCCAGGGCCTCCTTCCATTGAATCATGCCAATTTCACTTTAATGTGTCTGTGTCCTAGGCTGGTTCATAGCCAGAAACTGGACTCTTCCCACAATCTTAAACAAGAAATATGTGACAGCCTCTCTTACCTGACATCCCTCCTTTTCTTTTTAATTTTCCATCACCCCTGAAAGGTCCACTGCTACCATCAGAGTTGTACAGTTGCCCCTCAGTTCAGAGGGGGAATTGATTCCAGGCCGGTGTGTATACAAAGATCCAAGGATTGCTCAAGTCCCTTATATAAAATGGTGTAGTATTTGCATATAATCTAAGAACACCCTCCCATATACTTTAAGTCATCTCTAGATTACTTATAATACCTAATAAAATGTAAATACTATGTAAATAGCTGTAAATGTAATGCTATGTAAATAGTTTCCTGCGCCAGTTGAAGTTTACCTTTTTGGAACATTCTGTTTTTTGGGGTTTTTTTCCGAATGTTATCTATCGTCAGTTGGTTGAATCCTGATAGCGGAACATGTGGGTACAGAGGCCCAACTGTATACCTTATGGCCTGGTGCCATGGCTGGGGAGTCTATCTTGTAGGCTCTATAGGAGAATTCCAGAAACTGAGTTCACCAGATTTGGGTGTGATTTGCTGAAAGGAAGTGAGATGGGAAGGAATGGAATAAAGGAATTTAGAGAATACTCTCCCAAGAGAATAGTCTTTAGGTCTGTTTACTTGAAGCACAATCCAACACTTGAATGTCAAAAGCTGTATCTGAACACCAGGGCTGACTACATAATTTGCAGGACCCAGTACAAAATGAAAATGTGGGACTCCTTGTTCAAATTATGAAGAATTTCATGATGGTGACGGGCAGAGCATTAAACCAAGCCTGGAGCCCTTCTGAGTACGGGGCCCTGTGAGACACCCATCATACCCGACGATGCCAGCCCTGTTGTACATTTTCTTTCTCTTTCTATTCCTTCAGAAATATTACTAATTACCACCCCGCTCCTGTCCCAGGCACATGGATGTTCTGGGAGTGAATCAGATATTCACAAAGGCAAAATGAAAAGCAAACTAATATATTTTTTAGTTATTTAAAATTCCTAAATTGTGCCCAGATCCACTCCCTTGAGTCTGTGAAAACCAAGTCAGAGAATGGCAAAATCACATTTCTTCCATTGATTCATTCACCCATTCCCCATTTATTTATTGAGCACATGCTCTCCTCCTAGGAGATCCCTAGGCCTCAGAGATTTAATAGTGAGCAAAGTAGACATGTCTCTGCCCTCGTGAGGATCTCTGTTTAGTGCAGGAAATGAACTCTAAAAACTCAGTGACTCACCTAAATGGGCAATTACAAACCGGGATAAAAGAAGAAGCATGGTTTTAGGAGCAGGTCTTGAATACATTAAAGAAGATTGACCGGGCCCAAGGATGTGGGTTGGGAATGGGTGCTTTGAGGTTTCCCTAGGTGATCTTGGGCTGAGACCCAAGTAAATGTTTAAAGAGAGGGACCCAAGCCCATTCCGAGCAGAGGGAAGAGCAGGTGCTGTGACAAGGGCCCCCAGTACACTCGCTGCTGGGTGATAGCCCCCCTCTCCTGGCTGCTTAGGGCTCTATCTAATCTGCTCCTACCTGTTGCCTTTTGAGATTCTCTGATTCTGGGAAACAAAGAATTGGCAGGACACCTGAAAATGACCAGAAGGAAGATATACTGGGTCACCAGGTCTTCTGGTGACCTTGTGAATCTCGGCTTGGATGTAGATGATGACATGGTTTCAGGACTTAGCTATGTAAGTAGATCTCCTTTGCATCAAAACACCAGGAAACTGAGTTGACAGGATATTCTCAATGGTCATAAACTAGGTCAGAGAATTTTGTCCCATATTTATTCAACTTTGATTTTTTTTTCTAATGGAACTCAGGCTTCCACAATTAGATGAATCATAATCCTTGGTCATGATACACATTCATGGCTCATACATCTCTCTGCCACTATCCCTCTCTATCTCTCTGTCTGTCTCTCTATCACACACCTATTTATCTATGTATTTACCTATAATAATATAATAAGCACCAATAAACCCATCAACAGCTCACCAGCTCCTATCCTAACAATCACATCCAGCTACTGGTCTTCCACCCATCCCATTTCCCAACTCTACCTGCCTGAAGTAACCACTATTCTGAATCTCTTCCCATAGATCCCTTGCTGTGCTTTCAAGAGAGTGTTATTTATTCTATATGAAGTCCTAGAAATGATATATCTTTTTCATTTTAGTTGTTTCCCACTTTATCAAAAGGGTAACATGTAATGTCTTCAGATTAACTTTTTTACTTCTTGATTACTTTTTAGTAGTTTACCCTCAGAGGGTGACTTGGTGTTGCATTCTGTGGATGACTAAAAATAGCTTCCTTTCTTCTTGTCTACAGTGTTTATCGACAGATGAAAGCCCAGGGAGGTGGAGTGACACCCCCTCAGAGTCACCCAGCCGATGTGGAGCAGAGCCAGAGCTGGGACCTGGCTGTTCTGACTCTCAGCCCATTGCTCATTCCCTGCCTGGCAACCTTTCTTTTATTTATTTATTTTTATTGAGATATAATTGGCATAAAACAACATATTAGCTTCAGAGGTACAACATAATGATTTGCTGTTTGTATATATTATGAAAATGTCACCACAGTATCCATCACCACACATAGTTCAAATATTTTTTTTCTTGTGAGGAATTTTAAGATCTACTCTCTTATCAGCTTTCTAATGTGCAATGCAGTGTTATTAACTATAGTCACCACGCTGTGCATCACATCCCCATGACTTATAACTGGATGTTTGTACTTTTGACCACCTTCACCCATTTTGCCTATCCTCCCCGCCCCACCCCCCAGCTCTGGCACCCAGCAATTAGGCTTTTTGTTTCGCTGTTGGTTGGGTAGGTGTTTTTTTATTCTACATATAAGTGAGATCATACAGTATTTGTCTTTCTCTGACTCTGGCAGCCGTTCTCTAGAAGGCTGGATGTGGAAAGATCCACCCTCCTTGGGTGGCTGGTCCCTCACTCCCTCAGGACAGTATTTGTGAAGTCTGTAACTGACGTGCTTTTGTTTTATCTTTCCCAAGAAAACTGTCACTCTTGAAGACAGCCCCGGGAGCCCGCAGGTGAGGGAGCCTGCGGCACAAGAGATGGGGAGGTACGATGGTGCCTGGAGAACCATGATTCCCTTCCGTCCGAAGCCAAAGTGAGTCCTGAAGGGGAGCTGAGGGTTGGTACCCTCCAGGGCAGTGATTCTCAGAGCCTCACACCTGGACCCCTCCCAAAGGCTACATAATCATGTCCCAACACCGTCCTGTCACCCACCACAGCCAGACACCTCCTGAGAAGCCTGAGGCACAACAGGGAAGCACAGCCAGCACCTTCATTCATTCAGTCAGTAAACAAGGATTCATTGAGCACCTACACATGCCAGGCACTGTGCCAGACGGTGGGGTGATAACAGTGAGCGAGACAGACAGGATCCTTGCCCGTCACCAACCTCATGTTGGGAAGAATGACAGTAAGCTCGTAGGCTCGAAGATAAATATGTGATTATAGCTGCTTGAGGAAGGTGCTGTGAAGAAATATGGGGTGTGAGGGACAAGGGAACAGCGACAATGTGATGGGTTCCAAGTGATACTGAAGCTGAGACCTGGAGGATGAACAAGAATTTACTAGGCAAGAGTGAGGGAAGGATGCCCTGGGCAGAGGGAACAGCGCGTGCAAAGGCCCAGCTTTGCGGTGGAAGGAACACAGTGATGTATGTTCTCAGGAACTGAGAAGGAGGCCAGTGTCTCAGGAACTGAGAAGGAGGCCAGTGTCTCTGGAGAGTCCTGTGTGATAGTGGGTGTGGCACGAGATGAAGCTGCAGGCAGAGGGCAGATGCTGGGGGACCATGTGTACCCCACAGGCCACATTAAGTACGTTCATCTTCATTCTGAGAGAAATGGGCAGCCATTGAAAGGGCCGTTTAAGGGTAACATGCCCTATGATGTTACCCTTAAACTTGAGTTTAAGAAATTCATGGAGGGCTTCCCTGGTGGCACAGTGGTTGAGAGTCCACCTGCCGATGCAGGGGACACGGGTTCGTGCCCTGGTCCGGGAAAATCCCACATGCCACGGGGCAGCTGTGCCCGTGAGCCATGGCCGCAGAGCCTGCACGTCCGGAGCCTGTGCTCCGCAGCGGGAGAGGCCACAACAGTGAGAGGCCCGCGTAAATTCATGGAGCCTTCTCTAACAAACCATAGTTTAAAGTAACCATCACCAAATGACTTTCTGATTTATACACCCATGGTTTCAAGGCCCCCCACAGATTCACGCACACATTCATTTATGCATCATATATTGACAGGATCATGACACTTCTAGTCTGATTCCTCAGCGTTTCATCACCAGGAGCCTGTTTCATATTTACAGATCCCTCTTCCCCCCCCACATTTTAGTTGTCAGACAAACTGCATTGGTATTCCTCTTTTTTAAATCTGAGCTTCTATCAATACTACCTAGGTTGTTACCCACCGAATGCATCTTATCTCCACCAGCACGAAGAACCTTGGTGCTTGAGTTTACCTGGGCAGCCTTATCTTGGAGTGACAGTGTTTCTGCTGGGCCTTTGGAATATCGGTGCCAGCTCATCCGTTCTGGCCCTATTCTTGTGATCACAGATGGCCGCATACATCTGCTGCAATGTCTCATCTTCCCATCAGTCCTTCTCTCTCCAACATCTCTGGCAAAGACATGGCCAGCATTGCCCAGAATGTACAACCATGGTTACTGACGGGCTGGGAGGATGTAAAAGGCCAGAACAAGGAGAAAAGAGGCCATAGCCAAAAACAAAGAACATCCCACGAGTTTCGCATTTTTGCCTTCATGTCTTTCTCCCAAATATTTTTTAAAAATTGAATTTTCTTCATATTGAATTATTTAGCATTAAAGGCAATTTTGAAAAAAGAAGTCAAAATTGGGACTTCGCTGGTGGTCCAGCGGTTAAGACTACGCACTTCCAGTGCAGGGGGTTTGGGTTGGATCCCTGGTCAGGGAACTAGATCCCACATGCCACGAGGTGCAGTCAAAAAAAAAAAAAAAACCAAGTAGAAATTGCACACGATCTCAACACCCTAATCCAATCATTATTTCTGTATTTGATTCTGTATTTCTGTATTTGATGTGAATCATTCCCAGAGATTATGACCTTATCATTCTTATTTACTTTTCTTCATTTTTATTGTTTTTGTGGAAGTTATATTAGTAAAACAGAAAAATTAAAACAATGAGAATCTCTTTTCCTGTTTCTTTGCCAATTCTAATCCTTACTTCAAACACTATTAATGATTTGATATAAATTGTCATATAATTTGACATATATTGTATGTAAAATAGATATATATTGTTTTGTCTGCCTTCCCTTATTTCTTCCTTTTTTATATAAGTAAAAATATACTAAATAAATTTCTTCATCTGCAAGTGACTTTTTTTTCTTGCTTAATATTCTTAGAGCTCTTTCCATGTTTTACATGTAGATCATATCTATTTTTAGGCTCTTCTGCATTGTTTTCTACGATACGGTACAAGATGTACCATACTGGTTTTCTTTCTTTTTAAATCATTCCCCTATGGATGGGTGTTTTGTTGTTTCTAGTTTTTAACTATCACAAATAATAGTCATGAAAAAAAATACTTTTTTGTATATCCAGATGACCACACTGTGGTTTTTACATAGTTATCACTCATCCCTTCCAAATCTTGCCCTTGACTTAATTGTCTACCTCTGGCGCCTACATCCTAGTGTGACCACATTGCCTGTGACTTCTCTGCTAGGTTTCCTGCGCCCAAGCCCCTGGATGATGCTGGCCTGTTCTCTTACCTAACGCTGTCATGGTTCAGCCCAGTCATGATCCAAGGTTTACGGAAATGCTCAGATGAGAGCACCATCCCCCAGCTGTCAGTACATGATGCCTCAGCCAAAAATGCCAAAAGGTAAAGTCACGTTGGGCAAGCCAGTGAGGTTGGTTAAAGACCATGTCTTGGTAGATGGTGACCAGAGTCGCTTAAATGTGTGTGTTTAGGGGTGGTCCATCCTCAGACAGCCAAAATATATCAGTTCTTCCTTTGTAGCAGGAGGCCTCACTCTAGTCTGGAGGTTCTTAATCTGGAGTTAAGAAATAATTTACGTATTTTATATGTATGGGCTAGAGCTCTTTTTTTGGAACAAGAATTCACATCTTTTATCAGGTTTGCCTGGGGGCCCAAGACGCTGAGAAGTTAGAAATCACTGCTTCTTGTCCCTTTTGCCTTTTTTTTGTGGATCAAGCATTTATCTGTGTCACTGACGATTAAATGTTGGTGAGTGGCCCAGGTTCTTAATCCTTGAGCCACCACTAACTAGTTGTGGGATTAAATTTCCTGTACCACCCACCTTACAAGGTGATAGGAAGATCACATGGGGGAAAAATGAGTGATTTGAAACGTCCTGTACTCATGTTACTACCTCTAGCTGCTTATGAGATACCCCAGGTGTAGACGGCATTTTCCAAATGTATTCCAGGAAATGGTGGTCCCCTCAGAGCCTTCCTGAAAAGAGCATTCAGTGGTCAGGCAGCTTGTGAACTGTTGCATGCTGTCTCCAGGTCTCAGAGATTTATAAAGAAAATCCGTGTAGTGAAGACACTGAGAATACAGAAACTGGTTAAACTTTGACCCATTGCTTCTCAGACTTACTCGGGGAAAAAAAAAGAAAAGTTTCCAGGGAGCACCTTTTGGATAATGTCAGATACTGGTCGGAATCTCACCTTTTACCAGCTATGATGTCAGATGAGTTACTTACCCTCTCAGGGTCCTGTGTTTTTATATATAAAATAGTAAATTATAAAAAAATAATCTCATGGTCCTTCATAGGATTGTTGTAAGAATCAAGAGGTAATAGAGTCAGTGTAAGGCATGTAGGAAAATGCCAGATGCATAATAGGCAATCAGTTAAATGTTAGCTTCCTTGTTCTTCCCTAACCATTGTGAGGACAAGATCTCCTGATTTTTTTTTTTTTTTTTTTTTTTTTTTGCGGTACGCGGGCCTCTCACTGCTGTGTCCTCTCCCGTTGCGGAGCACAGACTCCGATACGCAGGCTCAGCGGCCATGGCTCACGGGCCCAGCCACTCTGTGGCATGTGGGATCTTCCCGGACCAGGGCACGAACCCGGGTCCCCTGCATTGGCAGGCGGACTCTCAACCACTGCGCCACCAGCGAAGCCCAAGATCTCCTGATTTACTTCCCTTCACTTCCTGTTCACTGATGCTGCCTTTTGAATTCTATAACTCACAAGGCCTGACTGCCAACACTTTTGCAATCACTCCATTTTTTGGATGTTTCTTTGGAAAGGTAATTATCCATGCATTCACACCTTTAGAGGGGTTTCTTTCTATATGTTCTCCATTTAACAGGCAGCGTTCTGGGGTATGTCTTCCCTAATCCTTCAAAAGGGCTTTGGATTCTATAAGGATGTGCTGACAAACTGTCACCATCATCACCGCCACCACTCTCGGCAGCATCACCATTATCACCACCATCACCTTCATCCTTAGGACCCTCATAATTCTTCACATTTTTATTGTTCTACAATTACAGAGCATTTCCCCATCCATTGTCTTCTTAGACCATCACAATAGGGTTATGAAATAAACAGGGCAGATATTATTTTCCCCAACTTACAAGTGAAGAACCAGGATGAAGAGAAATGAAATGATGTTCCCTGAATCATATAGCTAATGAATGGAAGAGGTGAAATTTGAAACCAAGTCTCTTGAATCTAAGCCTAATAATCATGGCCAGAAATTGATAAGAGTTGCTAGGAGAGCTGTGGGCAGGCTACAGAAAACTTGGATTTGTTTAGTCAAAGTATCAATAGAAACAACTCTAGAGCTTGTTGTCTCTGTGGATTGTGTTATGTGTGGGGTTAGGGCTGGAATGAGGAGATGTGGCTCCACGGTCTGTCCTGAGTAATATCATCCACAAGCAGTAGAAGCCTCCAACACAGACAGGTGTCCGGGGGACATTTTTGCTTTGTTGAGCTAGGGCCCAGGCTGTTATCTGGTCCACATAGGTGGACACGGGATGGTGTAGTTTTCATTACTCAGGAAGAAAGAAGAGGCCTGGAGTTTTGATTGCAGGTGAAGGAAAGTAGGACAGAAAGATTCTCATGGTATTGGTTCCCTTCTGGTTTTAAGCTAGGCATGAGTATCCATGGCTGGAGGGTAAAGAGTAGAAAGGGCTAGAACTGCTTGCCATGAGAGACTTGGTGAGATTCTGGGCAGAGAATGAGACCCAGATGCTGACGGAGCTGTTTGAGAACATGCAAAAACAGTGCTGCTGTCAGGCCCTGGCGGCAAAGGGTGGCCAAACAAGGGAAGCTGTTCTGTTCACCGTGCTCTCGCAGTCTAAGGAGTAGCACCTTCCAGGAGCATCTGGAGTCCCTTGGCGTAGTCCTTGATGTTCTCATCATGGGCAGTGGTGACCGCTTTTCAGACAGTGGAACCGGACATAGGGGCGCAGGAGCCAGGAAGTCCAAGGGCCGATGCCAGCACGGTGCCTGCAGCTGACAGATTGCATTGCAGATGCATGAGAGGCATCCAAGGGCCAGATTAAGATGCTGGAAGCCTTGAATATCACAATGACTATTGTCCAGTCCCCTGTTTCTCCCTCAAATATAACTCAAAATAAAAAAGAAGTGTAAGAAAGTCAACATAATTTTAATTTTTTTCACGATAAGTTCTTTGATGCTTTTCTGAAAAAAAATTGAAATGTTTTGAAACCCAAACGAAATGTTTTTGGTGTTTCTGTTTTGCTGGTGTAGCACAAACCTCCCAGGCATCATTAGCTTGGAATGTCAAAATAAGGATACACTTTTGGTTGGATGATCCAACACTGGGGCACACTTTTGGGGACTTTGAAATAAATGAGGGCACTTTTTGGAGGTCAGAGTTCTGGGTTTTATGAATCTTAATTTGCATATAAGAAGGAAGAGTGACATAATTCAAAGCCTTAGGCGGTTTCCTCAACCTACTGTATTTTAGGGTAACAAAATAGTTGATGAGGGAAAGTTGTTTTTTACAGAAAAAATTTGAGCTACTAAATAGAAAAGGAAAGACAGAATTAGACAAATCACCATTTTGCCATTCCTGTTGGAAGTGGATGTAGGCAACGATCATCAGTGATGGGGAACTTGGCAATGAATGAATCAGGCTGACACACCTTATTAACTCACTGATCAAGCTTAACATAACTAAAAGTGGGACAGCAGACATTGTACGTCTTCTGATGTGATGCAAAAGGACATACACTACATCACCTATTAAGTGTTTTTGCCAGCTGACTTGAATTCTGAATTTTATTAAGCCTCTAGATCTAACTAGCAGTTTAATAGGAAATACAGGGAATAGAAATTTATGTTAGACAGACCCACAGGGATGCAATCAGTCAAATCCAGAATGTGGAACACTCTACAGGATAAATAACTCAGTTTCTTTGACAAGTAAATGGCAGAAAATGCAGAGGAAGGGAAACTGTTACAGATTAAAATGAGATGCAAGAGGCCTATCAGATTTGTCTTTTAACTGCAATGAGTGGACCCTATTTGGATCTTGATTTAGGCAAACTAACTGTAAGAACGTATTTTTGAAATAATTAGAGGAAGTTGGATTAAATGCCATTAAGGAATTTTTCTTACTATGTTATTAATATATAACTATTAATTAATAGTTACTAATAATGAATAGTTATTAATTCATAACTATTCTTATTATGGTTACTATGGTTTTTTTTAAGGCTTTATCTGGAGGAGATACACACTGAAGCATTTATGGATGAAATGATATCTCTTGGATTTGCTTGAAATATTCTAGCAAAAAAAGAAAAAATTGGAGGGGAGGAGAGATGAAATAAAAATGTCAAATGTTGATAATTCTTAAAGCTGGGGAATGCATATCTGGGGAGATGCCCTATACTGTTCTCTCTATTTGTGTTATGTTTGACGATTTCTGTGACCAAGACCCTAGACTAGCAAGAACTAGGACAATTGGGTGACACATACAAAGAGATTTCATTTGCCTCCATTTTCCTCTTTCCAAGGCTTCGTCTCCTTTGGGATGAAGAAGTCTCAAGGCATAGAAGTGCCAAAGCTTCAGTGCTTCGAGTGATGCTGAGATTCCAAAGAACAAGGGTTATTTTCAGTACGCTTTTGGGCTGCTGCTTCTCTGCCGCGAGTGTTCTGGGGCCAGTAAGTGGCAGGCTTGGGGAGGTTTCGGGACTCCAGGCCTTGGAGGTTAGCATGTTGAAATCCATGCCAAGAATTGGGAATGTCTTTGTCTCTCAGCTGCTGCTCAGAAAATGAAGACTTTCTGGGGACAGTGGAGCTAATAGTAGTTAGAAGTGTGAATTCTGCAGCCACTGCTTGGGTTCTAACCTTAGTTCTGCCACTTAATTTCTGGGTGACTTTGGGCAATTTGTTTACCTCCTCTGTGCCTTGGTTTCCTCGTGAACCCCATGACACTCTCAGCCGTAGTCCTCATAGAAACCCTCACATGTGAAATGGAGAGCCCGAAATTGCCTACCTCATAGGATGACGTTAAATGAGTTAAGCATATAAAACACTTAGAACTCGGCGCAGCTCAGTATACACGAGCTGCTTTGAGAAATGGCTGAGCAGCTCTGGGCATGTAGATCTCCTCCATGTACCATGGTTGGCATGAATGGGCTCACTATTTCCTATCAGCTCCTCAGCCCAAGATGCAGACAGTGGGTCTGGCTGTCCCAGCTGGGGTCACGTGCTCGCCTGTTGGCCAGCAGCGGAGCATTTTGATTGACAGTCCAGCCTAGACTGCGTGCATTGGGGCAGGCGAGAGTCTCCCCAGAAGAAAACTGAGGCGCTGTTACCAGCTCAGGGAAGGATGGAGGTAAGTTAGGAGGAAGCAACAGCTGATGATTCCACAGAGATAAGTGACTTGGGTGACAGTTAGTGTGCTGCATATTCTCCATTTGTCCCTCCAGATCCACTCTCCACCTTTCTCTGCGCCGTCCTGTGCCCCTGATGTGTGACCTGTATGGATCACATCAATGGGGTCCCCCTGCTTCTGGCTTCTGGTTGGATTGGACCAGTGGGAGATTCTAACGGGAGGCTGGAGGGAAGGAGAAAGTGAGGGCAAGATATTTATTGCTCTGACTGCCTCCCTTCCTGTCATTGGAGGTTGGTGACCAGATCCGAAAATGAGGGGGCCTTTCTGTATGACTTTCTCCTTCTGGGTTTCAGTAACCTCACCCTGTCGCCTCCCCTTAGTTCCCTGCTGTTGCTAGCTCCAGGGTGCTTCTCCATCCCTGCTGAATTTCCTCAGTTCTGCCCACACCTTTGTAAACAGTCTTGTTATTAACTCCTGAATTACCCCGTTTGTTTGTGTCCTCTGTTTCCTGTCGGGACTGATGCTGAGACTGCCTCCACGCACCAGTGCCGAATTGAATCTCGGAGACAGAATTCTGGGAGAAGCAGAAAAGAAGAGCTTTATTGCTTTGCCAGGCAAAGGGGGGCACAGTGGGCTAATGCCCTCAAAACTGTGTGTCCCTTTTCGGGGGGGATTTGGTGAGGAGTTTTATAGCAATGGTTCAAGGGCGAGGTTGCTGACAAGGATCAGGGTACGTGCAGGGCCTGCATTCCTTTAATCTGGCCTCAGGTGGTATCCTGATGAGCTCCTGTGGTTCTCAAGGTTGTCAAACTGTGACCTTCTCTCTGGAATGAAGAATGCTTCATCAAGTAGTTAACATGTTCCATTTATTGGGGGTTTTAGTTCTGCAGAAGAGCTCAAAGATACTGTTATGTGTATCCCTTGAGGTGGAACCAGGACCTGCCCCAAGGCTGCACTATTGTTTCTTGGCTGCTCCTCCCTTGTCTCCACATCCCCTCCCTTCCCTGATTAGCAACTGTTTGAACTCACCCTTTGGAACTCAGGGAAGGTCATGGAGGCTGAAGCCTATTTCCCACAAACAAGAAACAGGGGACACAGAAAGGCTTCTGTGTCCAGGAGTCCCACAGGATCCTGCTTGGTTTTAGGACCAGCTACGAGGTGGTGGAGCTGGGATTCTGATCTGGGTCAGTTGAACTCCTAAGCCTCCTCCGACTGGACTGCAACGTTCTGGAGTGCAGGATTAGGATTGAGTTAGTTGTGATCGTTCAATAAGCCCCCTCCCTTGACTTGAGGACCTCACACATGGTGCATATTGGGTTGGTGTTGCCTGAAAGCAGGCTTGGGAAGTCTGCATGATCCAAACTCCTGTTTCCTTTTAGATGCTGGTTATACCAAAGATCCTGGAATATACTGAAGAATGGTTGGGGAACATTGCCTATGGAGTAGGGCTTTGCTTTGCCCTTTTTCTCACCGAGTGTCTGAAGTCTCTGAGCATGTGCTCATGCTGGGTCATCCACCAGCACACTGGCAACAGGTTTCGTACAGCTGTCTTCCCCTTTGCCTTTGAGAAGCTGATACAATTGAAGTCTTTAACACACATCACCACGGGAGAAGTAAGTGATGAGGCTGCACATGGAGGCGAGAGTTGGTAGTTTCCTCCCTCTCCTGGAGACATCACTTTCCTGGAGGCCAAGGGAGGGAGAAGTGGGAGTTAGGAGAGAAGGAAGAAAGAGAAAGGAAACCATTCCCAGGGTGAATGTTGATAACCATCAACAATTGCCTCTGGGGTCGTAAGAGAAGTTCAACAACAACCCAGGGGGATGCCAGTTGTATTCAGAACCTTAGACAGGATTTATCCATCCATTCAACAAATAGTTCCTGAGGCCTACTCTGGGCCAGGCCCTGTTCTAGGCCCTGGGGATACAGCAGTGAACCAAAAGGCACAAATCCTGAGTAGAGGCACAACATAAAGCATATCCCCTCAAGACAACCTGGGGAAGAAGGTATAGGAGGACTTGGTAGCTCAGGGAAATCTAGGGAAAAGCGAGCAGAGATAAACCCTCTCAGTATTAATTTTCTTATCTGCAGAGGAAGAATACTTACAGGCCTGGTTATTGTTGTTGTCTGGGGCTCCCTACAGCATAACACAGACAAACAATGGTAGAGATTGAAGAAAGATATGACCAACTGTGGCCCAGACTCATGGGGGGGATATTGGAATTTTCTATATTTAATTTTACTTTCCCTATTTTTCTACTGCTCACCAATTTCCTTGAAGAGCATGGATTACTTTTATATTGAAACACACATTTTAATTTTTGGAAAACTCAGTACTGCGTTGGCTCTTTACCCTCAAGCCAAACTCCTTTGTGATCTGGCATCAGCAACTTCCCAGCCTCATGTCCTCCTGTGTCCCCTCCTCTAGTCCTAGGTTGGCTTCCACCCTCCCAGCCTGGTGGGGCTAAACCTGCAGTCCCCAGATAGACCAGACATGTCCACCCCGTGGCAGCTTTGCTCACATCACTGCCCCTGCCCTTTAAAAATTCTGTTCATCCTTCAAGGCCCAGCTGAGACGTCCTCTCCTTCATGATAGTGTCTCTAGATCCCACCCTGTGCCCCCACTCCCCACCAAGCACAAATCTGGCTGTTCCACTCAAATGAGCCCCCTTCAAAGACACGAACCATTTCAGATTCACTACTCTATCCCTGGAAAAGCCCAGAATCCAAATTACACAGGACAATGTCCAAAATAATGTCTGCTATATTAACCATTGCCACCAAGTAGATGCTTTTTCTAATTCAAATGCTAACAAATGTAAGATATTTATTGTTATCATCATTATTGTTATTCTTCACCATTTTATTAGTTCTGTGATCTTAGGCAACTTGTTCAGCCTCTCTGGAGCTGTGGGATAGTAATAGGGCCAGTCTTATAGAATTGTTGTCTCATAGGATAAAATGAATTAGTATTTACATGTAAAGTATGTGGAAGGGGGCCGGTGATTCATGTGTTAAATTGTGTCATTAATTTCTGTTAGGGCTTAAGCAGGAGGCTGCCCTGTCCTCCTGCACTTGACTGGAGTTAAAGGACTCACAGCAGCCCTTCTCCCTGTTCATCTCAGCAGAGTCATCACAGTAACTGCTAACTTCCTCTGAGCCATTGTCCCAGGGGCTTTACTTAGCTCAGTTGGTCCTCTGACAACCCTCTTATGCGGTAGTTTCCTTTATTGTTTCCATTGTCACAGAGGTGGAAACTGAGGCCAGGAAAGGGTATGAAACTTGCACAAGTCTCGTGATTGGTAAGCAGCAGAGCCTGGCTGCAAATTCCAGGCTCTGAACCAGTGCCCGCACTTGCTTCGCTGAGGAGACTTTCTGCACCGAGGCCAACCCTGGCTCCTTTTCTGTTTGCCTCTGTTCTAAGTCCCTACTGTATGTGAGGCCCAATTTCCCCAAACATCTTCACAGAAGCAGAAAACAACGTGACCCCTTTGGAGCTGGAGAAGGAAGTTGTTGCTCATATGAGGATTTCTAGAGAGTCGCTCCCATAAATTTTATATTAAAATTAATTTTGAAAACACCTGAGTACATGCTCCTTGGCAAAGAAATAAAATAGTATAGATGACCCCCTACACCTCATCACCCGCCCTATGCCTGGAGGTGACTACCACCACCTTCCAAACTTTTTAAAGTACATTTAGGTACACATGCAAGTTACCCACAGAAAACATATTGTATTTGTGTGCGTGTTTTTCCATAAATGATACTGCATTTTACATAGTGTTCTGCAACTTGGTTTTACCAATAGAAAATGTAGAATATAGATTTGGGGGTGAGATTTTTACATCAATATTATCCAACACTTCTTGGGTGGACGCTTTAACCTTTCCCCAACAATGGACATTTAGGGTGTTTCTGGGTTTGCTGCGATAAGCAGTGCTGCAATGAACATCCTTGTATATGTGCTTCCTCCAGCACAGGAGAATGTTTCTCAACAGAGAAATGAAACTGGGACGTCATGGGGTTTGTGCAATCATTAATTTTAAAAGATACTGTTAAATTGCCCTCCAGAGTGTCTGTACCAAGTTATGTCCCTCAACACTAACAGGTTTTTGTTTTTTTTTTGCGGTACGCGGGCCTCTCACTGCCGTGGCCTCTCCCGTTGCGGAGCACAGGCTCCAGACGCGCAGGCTCAGCGGCCATGGCTCACGGGCCAAGCCTCTCCGCGGCATGTGGGATCTTCCCAGACCGGGGCACGAACCCGTGTCCCCTGCATCGGCAGACGGACTCTCAACCACTGCGCCACGGGGGAAGCCCCAGGTGTACATTTTAATTAACTTAATGCATGTGAGAACTTCGCTGGTCGCGCGGATGTGCTGGTCGTTGACCTCAGATGCATGATTCTGCATCTTCACAACTTTTCTGGCCAGGAATATCTGCAGTCGGGATGCAGCAAGAGCATCTTTCATAAGGGCAGGAAAGTGTGGCCTGGCATTAGTGTGGCAACTAAGATTATTTCCAAAGGTAAACTCCAGTTGTGAACTGGATACCTGGGTCTAATCCTGCACTGTTTGAATCCATTGTGACTCTCAGTTCCCGGTCTCTACTGAAGGGTTCCAATGGAAGCCTCTCCACGCCATCATGCCTTGGGCACCTGCCTCACACATCCTGGGGTGGGGGTGTGGGGGGCGTTCTCTTCTGGGTCCCAAGCTAAGCCATGACTAACTAACTCTCTACCAATTACAATCACCTTTTTAAAAAAAGAAAAATTTATTGAAATACAGTTGACTTACAATGCTGTGTTAATTTCTCTGCACAGCAAAGTGACTCAGTTATAGATATATATGTATATTCTTTTTCATATTCTTTTCCATTATGGTTTGTCATAGGATATTGAATATATAGTTCTCTGTGCTGTACAGGAGGACTACAATCACCTTTTGATCAGAATACCTGAGCTGAGGGAGGAAAACACTCCATTTCAATAATTCAGAGCACACAAATCCAAGAGTCACTTCCTGTTTTGCCCAATTTTATTTCAACTGAATCGTGGGCAGCAAATTTGCTTCCTTTCCCCCATTATACTGTGCCAATGTTAAATGCTTTCTGCTTTATTATATCAGCACATTCTGGGTAGAAAAGAAGGAACCAAAATCTTACACAGAGGATGGCTACTGAGGAAAGTCTGTGAAGCAGATAATCCATCACAGAAACCTATGAGGTGGACCTCACCCATAAGATTCACCTCCTATTTATGAGGCCAGCATTGTGGCCAGAGAACCATTTGAGGTAGGAATTGAAGCTGAATCTCACCGGCAGTGGAATGAGCAGTCAACAAGAGTCAACATTCCCACTGAGAAGTACCCTGGATTCCAGAGCCCTAGGAGTTCTAGGGAATGTCCAACATCAAATGGGTGGCAAAGGAAGACATTACCTCCAGTGGTAAAATCAGGAGATAGCAAAGCACGACAATGAGCGCTGTGGGTCCAAGAGTGAGGCAGGAGGTGATGCTGCAGGCTGTCAGCAGTAAGCAGGTGAGCAAGGCCAGGGCCCCATAGTACACCCCTTCAAACAGGCAGTGTATGTCACTGGTGAAGAAGCTGATGGCCTATAAGACAATAAGCCCATGGACACAGGTATCACCTCTCCAGGCACCCAGAAGAGGCTACATGTGCATGTGGCAGGTGGGCTCGCCATGCCTTCTCCAGGCAGGAAGGCTTGAGGCAGAGTGGTAGAGTGGAGACAGACACACCAGGTTCACAGCTCTCCTGTTACTAGCTGTGTGACCCTGGACAAGTTACTGTGCCACTCTGAGCCTCAGCTTCTCTACCTGTAAAGCTGGAATGATTATACCTACTTTATATGGTTGGTGTGGCAATGTCAATAAATATCTGCACACATAGACTGTGCCCAGTAAAAGTTATATTTTTCTATACTATTGCTACTACTAACAGCCACATTGCAGAGAGCAGCTTATAGTCTTCTATTCTAGTCTAGTCTAGTCTATTCAATTCATTCTACTACTACTACTACTAACTGCGTATTTTGGCAGGAGCTGAGGCTTTTTCTCCTCCTCCTTTCTCTTTTTTGCTATAGACTCTCCGGCCCACTCCCTACCTCCCCAACATATACTGCCTAGTTCAGTGTATAAAAGCTGACATTCCAAGTCACAAAAGTTTTGAGGAATTGATTCATTAATGTCTTTTGGAATTACCAACCTGAATCCCTAAGAAGTGATGTCCTTTTAACCTTAACCTGATGTCCTCCCAGTTCCCAGGATGTACCCCAGGCTGAGCCTTTAAAAACTGTTAGTGTTGGGCTTCCCTGGTGGTGCAGTGGTTGAGAGTCCGCCTGTCGATGCAGGGGAAACGGGTTCGTGCCCCGGTCCGGAAAGATCCCACATGCTGCAGAGCGGCTGGGCCCGTGAGCCATGACCGCTGAGCCTGCGCATCAGGAGCCTGTGCTCCGCAATGGGAGAGGCCACAACGGTGAGAGGCCCGCGTACCACACACACACACACAAAAAGCAGTCTTAAAAAAAAAGAAATCTTAAAAAAAATCTTAAAAAAATAAATGTACACCTGCGGGAAACAATTTTCAAAAATCATTAAAGGTACAGAAACTCTGGCCCTCTGCTCAGAGCCTGGGAATGTCATGGCAGGCCAAGCCTCTCACCTTCTGGGGATTTCTTTCATGTTCCGGGGCTTGCTCTATGCTCTTGGGAGAATGTTCTTGTGATGAATTCCAGATCTCAGAAGAAAGGAAATGGAGCTCTTGGAGAAGTGTGGGTTTATCCTGAGCCTGACGACTACCGCCTTGTTCACAGCCTCCTCCATGGCCTCAGTAGTGACGTTCCTCATCCACACAGGCTTACGGCTGAAACTCACAGCTTCAGTAGTGAGTGTTTGGGGTACTTTGTTTCCTCCCCCATATTGATAGGGAGGTTTCTTATGTGTCCTTTTCTAGTCTAGGCTGCTGAAAGGTCTGAAGATTTTGCAAATGAATAATAAAAATTGATCTTGATTTTCCAGACTTTTAGGGTCTCGAGCTTTCTTCCTTCTCCGTCCGTCTGAGGAGCTGATATCCCTTGCATAGCAGCTGTGGGGCAGGGGAAACAGTCATCTGTGGGTGCAGGGGAGGTGAAATTTGTGGTTAACACCCGGATGACGCTGAGACTGAAAATCCTAGTTGAAAATCCTAAAGTGGGGAGTTCCTCTGATCCCAAAATAGGGAAATGAAAATGCATTTTAAATACAAAAGTCTAGCTTCTTCTGTCTTTTCTTTTGTGGTCTGACCCTGGCCTTGGGAAGCAGCAGCTGCCTTTCAAGGTTAGGAATCCAATTCTTTGGGAATAGGACAGAGTGCTGTTCTTAGAGAGGTTGGAAGCCAGCCAGGGAGGCCAGGAGACCGCAACTGAAGTAAGAGGGGGAGCATTTGAGAGTCTGCAACCAAGGGCTCCTCTGCATTCCAGACGGCAGTCACCTCTGCTAGGCCCTGGCACACACCAGGGAAACACCCCGGCGAGTTGGTGGGTGGACGGCAGGCTGTGTAAGGGGAACGCTCAGTGGAACTTTAGGGTCACGCTGCACTCACACCATGCCAGGCTAGACCAAAGCATTCCTGCTCC